CGGTAATTTAAAAATTTGCATATTTTAAAACTTTTACCAAAATATTTTGGAAAAATATTAAGATTGGCGTGAGCTGTGCCGATTTGAAAAAAACTTAAAAAATCGGGTTTTTTATATATAAATAAAATTAGTTTTTAAAAATTGTTTTCGAAAAAATCACGATAGCAGAGTTTATACTTTAAAGGTTTGCATAAATATATTTAATAATTTTAGCAACCGAATCAAAATAATGGGAATTTTGGAGGTATTTTCAACAGGGAACAAAAATAACAGTTATTTTTTTTGCTCGTCAAAATATTTTCGTAGGATAAAGTTATCAATGTTGCTTTGATCTCAGCACCTCCTGGGCAAGAGTCCCTGATTCTTTTTATTTTTCGAACTTTTTAGAAAAATATGCAATAATAACCGAAAATCCGTAATAACAAGCAAACTTGGCCAAATATTTTATAAGGCGGAAATAAAAGTCGTTTCATAATTAAACAAATTTGTTATCAAATGAAAGAGGACTGAAATAGCTTTCAACTTTAAATATCTAAACAAACCACTTATTTACATATTTTTTTATAATTTAATAGAAAGGAAATTCATACATCTGACGCAATATTTGTTCTATGGTAATTAAAAATATTTTTAAATGAATAGGTGGCAGTCCTCGTTTAGATGCACCAGTTTGAAAGGTATGTTACTCCTCTTTCGTTTGATATCAAATTTGTTTAATTTGGATAAGCCGTTTTTTTTTATTGGGAAAGGACTTTTATTTCGCTCTTAAAAATATGTGGCCAAGTTTAACTGTTATTACTGGACTAAAAAAATAACAAGTCCGGGTTGACCGATTATTTTATTTTATGTAAATAAGATAAATGTCCAAAATTAACTTTCTTCTAAGGATTTTTATTATAAAAGCTATAAAAGTCCTGGGCCCCTTATTTTCAAATCGGTGCAGCCCGCGACAGTTTTTATATTTTTCCGAAATATTTTGGCGCAGGTTTTAAAATATAATAACTTTTTTGATGACGCACCCTAATATACATATACATATAGATAAATATCTACAGTCGCAAGTATGCACTTCCAGTTGTGTACAAATGTATGTATGTATGTGCTAACCATTATTTGCACTATTTGATTTTCACGCAGCTACTAGCGTACTTTTCCTCGTTTTTTTTTATGCACCGCTTATTTGCATTTCGATGCTTCTATTTTTCGGCCACTCGTGTGTGCTGTGGGCCGATACGAGTATTTTCTTCTTTATGGCCACGTTTTTCGATTGCCTTTTTCTCGTTTCCTTTTTTTTCGTGCCTCTTCTTGCCGCAACGAGTGCTTTTGGCGCGATTTTAATGATATTTCTGTCATTCACTATTGATTTTCATGTCGTCTGTGCATTTTCTTGACTCTTCGTCAGCTGTTATTTAAATTGCAGTTAAAGTTGAAGTGCAAGTTATTGTTGTTGTATATATTGAGTAGAAAGTGACATTTCCGCTGACATGCCTGTGTTGACGTTTGAGTGCTGTGCCAACTTGAACCACAAAGAGTGGTGGGGAAAACCAAGTTCAGACGAGCACGTTTATCGGAGCATCCATTGAAAATAGAAGTCAAAGATTCATATGAAGGAGTTTAGTGTAGGACTATGAATTTTGAAAAAAAAAGAAATATTTCATAAACGCGCAAAAAGTTACAAACGTTTCAGTATGTTTTTGCTCCTTCACACAAAAGCGGCGGTGGAGGACGTAGGTCTTAACCTGGATTAGCATATAGGATATTATTTAAGAAGAGTTGCCACCTTTTTTTCAAAAGTTAAAATCAAAATAAATGATACGTGAAATAAAATATTAAAATAAAATGTGGATGTGAGGGAAAATGGGCTCAAAACGATTTTTTTTTAATAGGGTTGCCATCTGTTCAAAATGTAAAAATTAATTTTATTATCAAGTTAAATCATATCTTTTATGTGGGCATCAAAGGAGAGGTTGAAAACGATTTCTTTCCAAAATATCTTTTTATGAGGTTGCCACCTGCTTAGAAAATAAAATCAATTTAATTTACAAGTCGAACGAATTATTTACATATGTTTGGCGATCAAACGAAGAACGGTTGAACGAACGTTTGAAAAAGCTTTAATTCGGAAATATTTTTTTGGCGTGGGTAACCACCCATTTAGAAATTCAGAATCAATTCAATTGAAAAGTAAAATTAAATATTTTAATATGGGTATCAAACGTCTATCGTTTGAGTAAGTTTTATTACTAACATATTTTTGGAGAGGGTTGCCATCTACTTATAAACTTTAAACCGTGTAATGAATAAGTTAATTGAAACCATTAATAAGATAATAATAATAGATTCGCGCTTACACATGTGTTAGTATTCGGCCGAGCTTCTCCGCCGATTTGTTGCGTGCAACTTGATGTTGTCACACAAAGGGGACGAACCTACAGTTGTACGCCGATTCCGAATGGGGATTGTATGAGAAGCTGGCGTTCGTAGCAGAATGCACTCGGAAGTTCGACGTTGCCTGTCGAGGGGCGACCCACACTGGTATATTTAGCCGATTTAGGCGGCCAAAAATATTTTCCGTTCCATATCTGATCTAAAGAGGATAGCAAATAAAAAAATCCGACAAAGGTACTTCTTGCAAAACAACGATTTTCATAAAACATTTGGATTTAGATATTTAACGCGTTGTTTAACTAAGTTGTAACAAATGTCTGAAAAAATATAATGGAGCGTATTCTTGTTTTCGTACAAATCGAAAATCATGAAATTTTCCTATCATTTTCTATACAAAAATTTCAAATTTTCGATTCGTACGAAAACCAGAATGCGCCTAAATAATTGTTGTCAAAGATCTGCATCGCCCTTGAATCGCCCGATATGTTTGGGTGTCTGTCTCACGAGGCACACCCATCCATGTACGCAGTTTCGGACGCATTAGAATATTATAAAGCTTTGACTTTTTGACGAAAAAATTGTTTCCGTACCAAGGGAAAAAATTAAGAGAAATATCAGTCAGCGTATTGTTAACAAGGGCCACCAAAAACGTGGACGACGATGGTTCTTGTCAGAGAAAGTTAAAGTCCCACTTATCTACATCTATATATATAATACACGAAGGGCTTTTTTGTTCAGGACAAATGATCGCCCGATTTTCAAGAATGAAATGTAAAATTAAAGCGCTTGATCTGTAGATGTGCAAACTGGTTTTAGTTTTTCGAAAAGAGTTGCCACCTTTTAAAAAAGTATATTAAAATTATTTAAAAAAAATAAATCCATTATGACAAACTGGGTTCAATCGAAATGGTTTTGAAAAGCTTTGTTTCTGAGCTGAACTATAGGAGGGTTGCCAGCTATATAAAAATCATATTAGGCAAGAGAAATATGTATCACCATATGGGTGCCAAACCAAAGGGGTTTGAGAAAGTAGTAGTTTGAAAATATTTTGAAGAGGGTTGCCGCCTGTTTGAAGTGTCGAATTTAGTTTACTTATTCCCAAGTTATACGAAATATCAAAATATGGATATCAAACGACGGGAGTGGTAAGAAATCTTTTGTTTGAACGCTAAGAATATTTATGAGGCATTGGAAGAGGGTTGCGACCTGTTTAAAAAGTTAAATTCAAATTTTTTTATAAGTTAAATGAGTTATTAAAATATGGGTATCAATCGAAGGGGGTTTGCAAATTTATTATTTCTGAACTGTACATAGCGGGGTTGCCACATGTTTGAAAATTTAAATTGCACTTAATTCATCAGTTAATTAAAATATGTATCGCAGTGTCCGGGGAAGGAGAGTTAACAATGATTGAGCTTAAAAATACTTTTGAGGGATGCCACCTGTTTGAAAGGGCTAACTCAATTAACTAATTCAAAAAGTACATGAAATATAAAAATACCGTAGTCAAACGAAAGAATGTTAAGAAAACTTTAGTTTGAACATTTCGATGTTTGAAGAGAGTTGCCACATGTTTAAAAAGTTACATTGAAATTATTCAGTAAGTTGGATGAATTACTAAAAGATTGGTTTGAAAGGGATTTATTCCTTGACCTTTATTTAGGAGGGTTGCCATTTGTTCGAACAATAAAATTGAAATTAGTTCAACAGATTATTGAAATGCATGTGTATCACAATGTCAGACGAAAGAGATTTAAGAAGATTTTATTTTGAGAATACTTTTGAAAAGGAATTTCAAAAATGGGAGGTCAAACTAGAGGCCATAGCCTGTAGATGTATGATAAAGTTTTACTTTTTTAATTAAGAATTTTTTTCATCGGTATAGAGTGATTTGAAAATCGACGAAAAAAAACATGCACTATGCGAGACTGCTCTTCAGTCAGAAACGGCTGCACGGTTTTAATGAAATATGGCACTCGGATTTCTTATAACTCTGACTAACATTTGGAACATTTTTTAAGTTTTTTGAAATACAATTTTGGGCGTTTTAGCGCCATGCGGGTTCACTAGTGCAATCTAAAAATCGTACTCCAAATGGATTTATAAAACTTGAATATTTTTCTTCAAGCCTAAGGCCGTTTTCATGGGAAGGTAGTTAGGCATGCAAAAATCGTAGTTATGACGATGCCGAATGATGTTTGCTTTCGGCGTACGTATAAAGCGTCCTGTCTAACAAATGGTTTTTAATAATCTACACTCTATTTTTAGGTGAATTGTGTCGATTGGTAGTTCACATGCAAAAATTCAATTAAGCGATTGAGTCTGCGCTGCGCCGCATGTGGCCATATCAATTGCTGTATGTATGTAAGTATAGTTAATTCAAAGACGTTATTGAATGGATT